GTAAAGTTGGATGCGAGAATTGGGTCATAATAAGGCGTGTATGCACCTGTATAAGAGAGGAATGCAGAGGAAGAGAGAGATTTTGGGAGTGATGTTAAGTGAAGTATAGGAGCCTTTGAACCTAGTGAGAGAGATAATCTTGGGGTAGGGGACCTGAATGCAAAAGTAGGAGAAACTTTTAGAGAGGGTGTGTGTAGTTAAGTTGGGGTGATCCCCAGGTGTAAAATGTAATGGAGCCCTTGATTGATCTTTGTATAGAAAAGGGGTTTAGTTATAGGTCATTACATATTTTTTAAGAAAAAGAGGATAAATCAATATACAAGATATGAGTAGGGCAAAATGAGAGGATAATAATTAGTTTTGTTTGGATTATGTATTGATAGGAAAAAGAACTGTTGAGTAGACTTCAGGATGTACATGTTTTTTATTAAGGGTGGCCACAGAATATCAGATCACTTTTCTAGTTGTAGCTACACTGGAGTAAAAGGTAGTATGGGATACAAGGAGAATAGAAGGCATCAGGGAAGAGAGAGGTGAAGGTTTTATAAACTAAAAGAGGGGGCAGTTAGGAAAGAATAAACAGCTATGGGAATATGATGTGCTAATGAGAGCATATAGGCAAATGGGGTCGAGAGGTATGGGGGTAGAGTTTTAAAAATGTAGTGTAGAGTGTTCAGCAGAAGTTTGTTGGTACTAGGAAATGGGGGGTGCGGGAGGGAAGAGAGCGATTTTTTTTTGGTGAAAGATGATGTAAAGAGAGTAGTAAGGAGAAAAAGTTAGCATAATGAAAAAGTTTTTTACAAAAGTAGAAGTGATGCAAGGAGGGAAGAGTATATGTTAGAAAAGAGAGAGGTTAAGAGAGTGGTGGAAGCAATGTAAAAAGAGAGCAAATGAAGAGTGGTGAGATGTTATCAACAAATTTTGTTGAAAATAAGAAAAATTTTGGAGTGAGATTAACAAGTAAGGAAGCCGAGAGAGAACAAATGGATTTGTCAGTTAAAAATAGAGAGGATAGTCTATTAAATGAGAGTTAGAGGTATTGGGAAGATGGAGGGAATATTTTGAGGAATTTTAAATGTTTGAAGAAGGATAGGGAATCTGTGATTTCGTGTATAGGCAAAGGAGGAATACACACTTGTAGAGTGAGAAGAGCCAGTTGTGATGTGGGGGGAAGTTCGTGAGGCAGTAATGTAAAATGAAAGGGGGTAAGGCAGGCGCCGAATTGAATGGGATAAAGATAGAAATGTTAAAAGCAGGTGGGGACTAGTTTTGGAGTGGTTGGTGCAATTTATTTAATAAATGTAGGAAGAGGGTAAAGGACCTAGGGATTGGCAGAGAGCTTGCATAGTTCCTTTGTATAAAGACAAAGGGACAAAAGAGAGTGCAAAAATTATAGGGGATAAGTCTGTTGAGTATACCTGGTAAAGTGTAATGGTAGAGTTATTATTGAAAGAATTAAAGTAAGAGGACTGAGGAATAGGATAGCAGATGATAACAACGAGGCTTTAGGAAAGGAGGGGTGTTGGACCCAGGTGTTTAACAGTGAAACATATAAGTGAACAGTATTTTAGATAAGCTAAAGAGGTCTTTTGTGGCATTTATGGATTTGAAAAGGCGTATGACAGTGGATAGGGGGCAATGTGGCAATGTTGCAGGTGTATGGTTGTAGGAGGTAGTTACTGAAAGCATGAAAGAGTTTTTACGAGGATAGTGAGCTCAAGTTAGAGTACATAGGAAAGAGGGAAATTATATCCCAGTAAAAGTAAGCCTTAGACAAGGGATGTGTGATGTCAACTTGGTTTGTTTCATATATTTATAATGGGTTGTTAAGAGAAGTAAATGCAGGTCTTGACAAGAGGCAATGGATTTTAAAAGATAAGGAACACACATAAGATGGGGGTTGTTCACGTTGCTCTTTGCTGATGACACTGGCACTTGGGAGATTCTGAAGAGAAGTTGCCAGAGATTGGTGATGAATTTGGTAGTGGTGTGCAAAAGAAAAAATTAAAAGTGAATACAGAAAGAAGTAAGGTTATGAGGATATACAAAAAATAATAGGTTGATGAAAGATTGGATATCAGATTGGAGGAGAGAGTATGGAGGAGGTGAATGTATTCAGATATTGGGAGTGGACGTGTCAGCGGATGGTCATGAAGGAGAGGTGAATCATAGAATTGATGAGTGGAAAAGGGTGAGTGTGCACTTAGGAGTACTGGTGGAGACAAAGACTTTGTCCCTTGGAGGTGCAAAGTGACGGGGGGTGGTCAGGAGGGTTTGTGAGAGATATTTAACCAACGTGCAGCTCATGGTGGAATATGGGTGTGAAGCATGGGTTGATGAATGTTGCAGCGAGAGAAGGCTGGAGGCAGTGGAGATGTCAATGTCTGAGGGAATTGTGGTGTGAATAAATGCAGAGAATTCGTAGTTTAGGAGGAAGTATGGAAGGAGATGTGCGGGATTGACCGAAGAACTGTTGTCCAGAGGCTGAGGAAGGGTTGTTGAGGTGGTTCAGACATGTAGAGAGAAAGGAGCGAAACAGAATGACTTCAAGAGTGTATCAGTCTGTAGTGAAGGAAGGCGGGGGTAGGGTCGGCCTAGGAAAGGATGGAGGGAACGGGGTAAAAGGAGGTTTTGGTGTGAGAGGGGCTTGGACTTCCACAGGCGTGTTTAGCGTGTTTGATAGGAGTGAATGGAGAACGATGGTTTTTTAATACTTGATGTGCTGTTGGATTGTGAGCAAAGTAAACATTTAAGAAGGGGTTCAGGGAAACCAGCAGGCCGTACTTGATTCCCTGGAATTGGGAAGTACAGTGCTGCACTTCTGAAGGAGGGGTGTTAATGTTGCGTTTAAAAAACTGTAGTGTAAAGCACCCTTCAGGCAAGTTACAGTGACGAGTGTGAATGATGGTGAAAGTTTATTGGTTATATTTTAATTCATTTTCGGGCCACCCTGCCTTGGTGGGAATCGGCCAGTGTGATAATAAAAAAAAAAAAAATACATGCTCTCCACCAATCCCTAGGTACCTTCCCCTCTTTCATACATTTATTAAACAAAAGTACCAACCACTCCAACACTATATCACCCCTCCTGCTTTTAACATTTCTGTCATGATCCCATCAGTTCCAGCTGCTTTACCCGCTTTCATTCTACATAATGCCTCACGTACCTCCCCCACACTTACATTCTGCTCTTCTTCACTCATAAAAGATGGTATAACCTCCCTGACCATGCATGAAATTGCTGCCTCTCTTTCTTCCTAACATTTAAAAGTTTCGCCTCAAAATATTTCTCGCCATCTACCTAATACCTCCCTCTCCCCATCTACTAACTCCCCTACTCTGTTTTTAACTGACAAATCATAATTTTCCCTAGGCTTTCGTAACTTGTTTAACTCACGCCAAATTTTTTTTTCTTATTTTCATTAAAATTTTCTTGACAGTGCCTCTCCACTCTAGCATCTGCTCTCCTTTTTGCACTCTCTTTACCTTTCTTTTACTCTCCATGTACTCTGCTCTTTCTTATAACACTTGCTTCTTTGTAAAACTCGACATAAGCTACCTTTTTCTCTTTTATCACACCCTTTACTTCATCATTCCACCAATCACTCCTCTTTCTCCTGCACCCACCCACCCTGTAACGACAAACTTCTGCCCACATTCTAATAACTGCCTTTTTAAAACTATTTCCAACCCTCTTCAAACCCCCCCCCCCCCACTACTCATCTTTTGGCACTAGCCCACCTTTCCAGCCATAGTCGCTTATATCTCGCCGCGAAACTTTCCTCCTCCCTTAGTTTATACACTTTCAACTCCCCCCTAAATTGTTGCCACCTTCCTCTTTTCCATCTACCTCTTACTCTACTGTAGCTACAACTAAATAAGATCCGATATATCAGTTGCCCCTCTATAAACATGTACAACCTGGAGTCTACTCACAACCTTTTATCCACCAATACATAATCTAATAAACTACTTTCATTATGTGCTATATCATACCTTGCATTTTATTTATCCTTTTTTCATGAAAATATGTTATTAAGACCTTTTTTTTTATTACCAAAATCTCTTCTACAATAGCTCAACTAAAGGCTCCCCATTACATTTACCTTTGGCACCCCAAATTTACCTACTACTCCCTCCATAACATTTTTACCCACTTTAGCATTAAAATCCCCAACCACCATTACTCTCTCACTTGATTCAAAACTCCCTACGCATTCACTCAACATTTCCCAGAATCTCTCTCTCTCCTCTACACTTCTCTCTTCTCCAGGTGCATACATGCTTATTATAACAGTATGTTAGGTAAAAGGACACAAGTGCAACTAATGTGACAATAAAATGTCACATTAGTTGCACTTGTATCCTTTTATTTAACATATAAATAACTTGTAAAATTGTTGCTTCCATTTTGTTGGTTTCTGTGTCCTTCATGATTTAACAGCACATAGGAATACGTACTGTGTTAACGTAAGTAAGGCTAACCGGTTTAATTATTAACCCACAATATTAATTTCTTTTAGTTTATCCCTACAGACTTTCACCTATCTTCTCTGTCTGTTGTTTCCTATCTGTTTCTTGCTGCAATGCTTTCTACTACCTTGGCAAGTGGAGGCATGATGCTATAACTACCCAAGCATTAGTAGAGATGGTTCTTGCTTTGGTTATGAGATCTGAAGATAGATATACTTGTGGCTGGTTCTGCTCTTGTAAGTCAACCAGAAGATGGCCTTAGTGCGAGATTGAAACATACAGTGCTCATCATAACTTTCTTTATGGCTTCATTTATTCCATTGATCATTATGTGTTACACTATTGGGGGTGTCATGCATATAATGTGTGTGTGTGTGTGTGTGTGTGTGTGATGAGTGTGTTTGTGTGTGTATATATATATATATATATATATATATATATATATATATATCTATATATATATTATATATATATATATTATATATATATATATATATATATATATATAATATATATATAAAATAAATTTTTTTATATTATTACTGTACTATATTTAGAAGTTTTATTTTAAAAAAACCTAGCAGTTTGTGTGAGAGACCTGGGCCCCCGGCCCACAGGTGCACCAAAACAAGACGATGGTAAGTGTTTACAACAGTAATCAATGTTTCATATATTGTAATTATAATTTTAAGCAATTGTTTATTATATAACTGTCTTGAAGAGATAAGACTTTCTTTACAGGTAATTTATGACACTTTATAATATTTATACCTTGAGTCCTGTTTGAACACTGCATGATTTTACAAATAATAAAAGATTACAGATATTTTGTATTACAGTGAACCCTCGACCAACTATATTAATCCATTCCAGAGAGCTCGTCGTTACTCGAATTAATTTTCCCCATAAGAAATAATGGAAATCCAATTAATCCCTTCCAGACACCCAAAAGTATGAAATTTTTTTTTTTCACATGATATATACATTTTTCCTACACAGAAAAAGGATACATGCACAATAAATAATGTACTGTACTAAAGAATAAATAACACTTATCTTTATTGAAGATGTAGTGATGTGTGGTGAGATGGGAGGGGAGATGGAAGTGCATTAATTTTTGGAAGGGAAATCCCCTGCCATAAGGACTTTAGGTAGTGAGTCTTTTTCTGGGGTTACTCCCCTTCTTTGTTTTTTAATGCCACTGGGAACAACTTGAGAGTCACTGGACCTCTGTTGCACCAAAAATCTGTCCGTAGAGCTCTGTACCTCATGTTCCTTAAGATTTTCCTAAAGTGGGTCACAACATTGTCATTGTAAAAGTCACCAGCACGGCTTGCAATAGCTGTGTCAGGGTGATTTTCCTCTTTGAAGGTTTGCACCTTTGTTCACACTGTACACATTTCCTTAATCATTGAAGAAGGCAACTTCCTCAATTTCTCTCTCCCCTCCTCTGAAGCAATTTCCTCAGTTGTGGCCTCTTGCTGTTGCAGATGCTCTTGCAGCTCATCAGTGGTTAGTTCTTCATCATCGTCCCCCACCAACTCTTCCACATCCTCCCCAATAACCTCCAACCCCATGGACTTCCCCAATGCCACAATAGATTCCACAACTGGCATAGGCTCCTCAGGGTTAGCCCCAAACCCATCAAAATCCCTCATATACACATTGTGGCCACAATTTCCTCCAAGCAGAGTTCAAGGTCCTGTTAGTCACTCCCTCCCAAGCCTTACCTATAAGGTTTATGCAATTGAGGATACTAAAGTGATCTTTCCAAAACTCTCTTAGGGTCAATCGAGTGTCTGAGGTCACTTCAAAGCACTTATGAAACATTGCTTTGGTGTACAGTTTTTTGAAATTTGAAATGACCTGCTGGTCCATGGGCTGGAGGAGAGGAGTGGTATTAGGAGGCAAAAACTTCACTTTTATGAAACTCAGCTCCCCCGAAATTTGCTCTGGCAAGTCTGAAGGATGAGCAGGAGCATTGTCTAATACCAGGGGGCACTTAAGGTCCAATTTATTTTCCAGGAGGTAATTTTTCACAGTGGGGCCAAACACATGGTAAAACCAGTCATAGAAAATGTCCCTAGTGACCCATGCCTTACTGTTTGCCCTCCACATCACACACAAATTAGCCTTGATGACATTGTTTTCCCTGAACACTCTGGGAGTTTCAGAGTGATACATGAGTAGAGGCTTCACTCTGCAATCCCCACTTGCATTACTACACAACATTAAGGTTAGCCTGTCTTTCATAGGCTTGTGCCCTGGCAGTGCTTTTCCTCCTGTGTAATGTAGGTCCTGTTTGGCATTTTCTTCCAAAACAGGCCTGTTTTGTCACAATTAAACACTTGTTGGGGTTGCAGTCCTTCAGCTTCTATGCACCCCTGGAATTCCTACACATATTTTTTAGCAGCTTTTTTGTCCAAACTGGCAGCCTCACCACACTGTGTATGCCACTATGATTTTTAAATCTCTCAAACCAACCTTTGCTGGCCTTAAATTCACTCACATCACCACTAGTTGCAGGCATTTTTTTAATTAAATCATCATGCAGCTGCCTTGCCTTTTCACATATGATCGCCTGAGAGATTCTATCTCCTGATATCTGTTTTTCGTTTATCCACACCAATAACAGTCTCTCAACATCTTTGTGTTTCGAAAACATACTTGCACCTTTCACAACAACAGCTTCCTTGATTGCCTTTCTGTTGGCCAAGATAGTAGCGATGGTTGATTGAGGTTTGTTATACAACCTGGCCAGCTCAGAGACATGCACTCCAGTTTCATACTTTGTGATGATCTTGTTCATTTCAATTGTAATTCTCACCCTTTTTACCACAGGGTTGTCTTTGGGCCCATGGTGGCTTATTTAGCAGTTACAAGCACTAAAAACACTGGAATAATACAAAATGTACCGAATGTATGCGTGGAAGCGACCACACTGGCACACTAACTGAAGGCAGGACAGCTAAGGCACACTTAGGCCAGATGGGACACTTGGACGCGTTCGGGACGAATCATTTTGGTTGAGTTTTTCATCGTTGGTTGGGCCAAAATTTTTACACTCAAACGCTTCGTTAGTCAAATTTATCGTTAGACGATGCTTTCGTTGGTCAGGGGTCCACTGTATATGCAGTAGGCATCATAAATATGCACAAGCATAAACAGATCACACGAGATTCCTTACTATGACCTGTTGTTTTTAATTTATAATACCAAAATATGTACTTGTTCCTCACCTAACCTAGTATTTTGAAGGATTACCCTTCCTCTTGATGCTCTCCTTGTCTACTAAGTACTGATTAGACTAACTTATAGAGGATAGAAAAGTCAATACCCTCCCACACCTGTTTAATGGCACTCCAGATTTGGGGTTTAGAGGGCATGTCCATGCCAGAGTTTACATTCTTTATTGGATTTATGTCCAGCGAGTTTTCAAACCAGTCATTAAAGCTTGGTAAATCACAGTAATTTAGTCAGTTCTTTGTCATTGGCAGTACAGTAAGGGGCATTGTCTTCCATACAAAAGTTGCCCTGGGCACTTCTTGAATCTGTCAAGCAATGATCTACTAAGGGCAAACTTATGGGCGTGCATATTTATAACCCCTACTGTATGGTATACAGAAAGCTTAGTATTGGTTATTGGTATATAAGTAACCCTCTTTATGCATTTATGCAAGGTTTATACTAAGATAAATTATTCAGCTGTGTCCACTAATATTCGGTACATTGGTATGAACACTAAAACATATGAAAAATTGATATTGAAAAATGCATGTATGTACTCCACAATTTAAGGAAGGAGTCAGCTCAGCAGATATTCCTTCATTGCGGCAACATTTTAATCAGACATTTCTAACTCATATATGGTTATTTATAACCATAAATCTACAAACATTATCTCTCAGTCCACAGTAGGATTCAAACCTGCATGGTTTGAATCCTGCTGTGGACCAAGAGATAATGTTTGTAAATAATTTTGCCCATTTGTGAATTGTTAAGCATTATAACCATACCAACAAACATTTTATTTCTTTGTGTAGTATACAGAATATGGTTTACATGTAATAAAACATTGTTAGGCACAAAGAGTTACTAGCATGTGATGCATTTCAGGCAGGTTGATCCTAATGCTTAGAGACTACTTAAGTCTCGACATAGGTTATTGAGTGGTAATTTCATAAATATGTACAATATTAGTATATTATTATTATTATAATTATGGGGGAGCACTAAACCTGTAGGATTATACAGCACATGTGGGGGGGATGGAAGGTATTCAGGGAACTGGAGCACAGATCCAATTCCCTAGATCAGGAGCCCCTCACCAGCATCAAGGAACCTCCCTTGAGGGGAATATGTATTGGTGCATTTTTAAATTTTCATCATTTGTTTAATATAAAGCAGGTAAAGATGACCATTATAACATGACTGGGCAGGAGAGGGTTACTTATTGACCAACCCACTATGCACTCCATTTTTTCTGCCCACCCCCATTGACTTATATCACCTAGAGCCTGTATGGGTGGTGAATGGAGGCCTAGGTAGTATACTGTCAGCCAGTGGGTCCAGGAACTGAGAAACTAAGGCTTACTATTGCATGACTAACCTTTGTGACTTCAGCCTCTTTGGACCCTGAAATTTATACCCAGTCTAGCATTGACTTCTCTGCTACTTTTGTTTTTGATTTACCAGCCATAAATGACTTTCACGGTAGCAGTTATTTTCTTAATACTGCATTAAATTCTACTTGTATACCCATTCTCGCCACCACTCACAGTGGTAGTTTGAACGTGTAGGCTGAGCACTTTACACACTGCTCTGCTCTTTATCTCTGTTGATGCTGTATTTCCTCTACTAATGAAGTGTTACATTTTTCTTAAAGTATTCTGTTTTAAGATCTCTCAGGACTATTCCACAAACTTCGGGAAAATTTTTTCATAAATGTGTACCTGGGTGACTCCACAACTGTCCTTGGGATATTCATCTAAACTGTGCAGTATGGAGCTCACTACAGATACAATGTTACTACATTCATGGAGGAGTGCTGAACCCATAAGGGTCATACAGTGCCTTGTTCAATCCAAGGAAGAAGAGCACAGATCCAGATCCTTAGATCAAGAGCCCCTCACTTCAGTAACAAATGCACTTCAGGTTTGGTTGTATTATACATGCAGCTAAACTTACTTTCATGGTTGCAGTTTGAAGTTGCAGAAAATGGCAGGCAAGCACTCTGCACAAGTTTCCATCTTTGACATTACTGGCAAGAAAAAACTCAACTCTCTTGACTTGTGTGGAAAAGGACACTTGTATACAGTTCAGGACATTTATTAAAGAAATTTTTTTTGCCATGAGTGGTTTCATCCCTAAGCTAAAACAGGGTATATATAATGAAAAGTGCAGGGGATTGGTAGCAAGAGTGAAGTGAGGCAGATGATACATCAGGTTGCCAAATAACAGGTTGGACAAATATAAAATAAGATGGATTGGATTTGAGCATGACCTGCCTAGCATGGGCCAACAAATTTTCAGAATCTGGGTAAGGTGTGGTACAACCCTATGATATTATCAACTCATTGTTCTTACTAGGTCCATTTGCAGATTGCTGGAACATACACTATTTAACCCTCTGAGTGGCCATCATGTAGATCTATGTTACTGATGCTAGGGTCCTTCATATAGATCTACATTTTGAGAACAGCTTTTTCAGATAAGCTGCGAGTGGTAAATTTTGGAAAAACCATTAAAAATGCAACAGGTCATACACCTTTAGTTGGCATTCCTGAATTCACATCCAGTGTCCAGTCAAGCTTCTATAATTAAATGGTCAAATTTTCTATGGGTGTTATGACTATCACCACAGTAGCATAACTGGAGGGAATCTCAAAAGACATCTGGACAAAGATTATTTTCCCATTCCTCTGGAAGTAAATTTTGTTGAATGGAAAAATACCAAGTATATTAACACTAAAAAAAAGTTGCTGGGTTCTAGGTAAATTATCCAGATAAAGAATGGCCCAATCACAGGGAAGAAGGTCTCACACTCCACAGAATGAAAGCCATTAAAATTTCACCACTGTAATAAGGTGACCTAGTATGGGTCATAATTATCCTGTGTTTCGAGATAAGGTCATTATACAATTTCTTAACCCTTTTTCTGCACACTTGCCATTTTTTATTACCTATAGTATACTTCTTAGTTTTTCTATATTTCCAAAGATTTATATAGTTATTACTAGCACTTAACAATGTGACAAAGATTATAGATTGATTCTTTATTTCAGTGTTTGATAAAATGTTTTTAATGATTTAAAACTATTGTAGATTTAACTTATTGCAGATTATTGTATAAAATTTACAGTAATAAACTTTGATGTGATATTTTATTATAAATTCTACTTCCACAGCACCCTCAGCACGCTCTGACAGAAGCGATGGACCCGGCGGCCTGGGGCGACGGGGGAGTGATGGCAGCAATTCCTGTGGAGGCAGTAGTAGAGCCGAAAGTGGGGTGAGTAGCTCCCGTGCCTCTAGCCAAGCCTCCAGTCAACCAGATAGCAGTGCCAGTAGTGGCCAGTCTGTAATTGCCCAGACCCAGACCATGCCTCATCCAACTGAACCACCTGTATGACTAGAGGCCACCACGCGGATGTGAGGACACGCCCAGGGCTCATGGCCGCCACAGGGCCGGCGGTCTGAGCCCTCTCCGGCACATGTGGTGCCGGAGGACCATCCTCCCGCGTGGCACTCGCTCAAGCCCCGTGGCCGTGAACCATCATGGTCCCCGGAGCCACCACCATCCCCTGTTCGTGGGCCTCATGGTGTGCTTCCAGCAAGACTACGGGCTAGCCAAGAGACCCTGGAAACTAAAGATTGGCCCCCTCCACCACAAGGAGTTGAGTTAGATCAGCTTGCAGCTCCTCCTCCCCCCCGCGCCTTTATGCCTGGCACTTGGTCACCTCGGCCTGAGCATCTACCTCTAACAGCAGCAAGTACAGTAACTGCTAGTAGAGGTGATCCCCGAAGTCCTGGAGCAGTTGCGGCAGCAGCTGTGGCAGGTAATGCACAAATAATATATGACCATCATCCTGTGCGTCACGCAGCTGATTGTCCTGCTCATAGACTAGACAGTAAACCAGAGAGTGGGCGGTCAAGTAGTCGACCTGCTAGTCGGCCGAGTAGTCGACCAGCTAGTCGGCAAGGTAGTAGAACCACTAGTCGACCCACCAGTAGGTCAGCTAGTAGATCTGGAAGCAGGTCAGCTAGTAGATCTGGACACAGATCGGGATATAGCTCGCCTGGAAGTGACCTGCGCTAGGGTCGCAGGTTCCTTAGGCCCTTAGCAGCCTTCTCCCCCAACGAGTCACTGCCCTAAACACGTGTGCAGCAGCAGCAGCAGCAGCTGCAGCTGAGCCTGTGGGTGTCCCTGACAGACGACTCACTCCGTTACGCTTGCCCCAGCTTTCTTCATGTTTGTTGCCTCTAGTGATAGCTGGAGATGGAGGGCCCTTTGTAATAGTTCATCAGATCTGTAGACAATCGAGGGAGTGATGTGGCGGCTGTCCTGCAAAAGTGCCATCCCACCTGTTGAACTGAATGCGTCCAGGGTGTTGCTTCCCGCCATTAGATGATATAACACTACTGCCATCTCTGAGACCTCAGTTAAGCACATAATGGATCATCCAGGACATGAGAGCACTTTAAATCATGGTTTATACACAAACTATGCAATACACACAAAAATCTCATACTTGTGTCCTGAATGTTGGAAATCCAGTTAATTATACCTTGGATATTTAAAGAATTGGTGTACTGTAAATGATATTAGAAATTAGCTCTGTATCACAGACTTGCATACCTTGATCAGAGCTAAAGATGTGATAGTATAGTACTGGAAAAATTATTTAACTGTTTCTGCATAAAACAAAGTAACAGACACCAGTGTTTCCAAAAAGTGCCACACATATAGAGTTAGTGGACTGAGCTCGCTCAAATAATGTTTAGGAAATATTTAAAGGAGTTGCAAACATTGCAGGCAGTTATAAATAGTAATCATCACTGATATAGGTGAACACACGAGCTATGTGGTAATACCAAGAGTAAGAGCTGTGATGATCCTTATCTTGTGAAAATTTGGCAGTAAAACCATAGAACACTACCAGGATTGCCATTAGCTCTCTATGGTAATGTTATATGGGGGAAGCTATGCATTGAAACTAGTGATACAGTACTAGGAAGAATGGCAGCAAGATCATAAACCCAGTAAGGAGGTACATAGTGCTCTTGAATAGGCAGTGATGTGCCGTCAAAGTGAATGCAACAGTGAGTGAATCGCGTCAGACACAGAACATTACAAAGTTAATTTTACTTGAAATATGCATAATTTACATGATGCTTTACAAAAAGAGGAAATTGCTTGCTAAGGAATCTCTAGGTTTTAGAATTTCTGATCAAACAGTAATATAAATACGAATTAGTTACAATGTGTTGTTGGCATTGTTGTTTAGTCAGACTACCAGGATCTGCAGAGGAGCATGGAGAGGAGACAGTCGGTGAGGTGGCCACATGAGTGCACTAATCTGCAGTGGTTTTCAGGGTCAAGCAATGCCCACCACCACTGCTGAATAGGAAGAGATCAGAAGGGCTTAGTGCAAATTGCATCCACATGCCACCCACTTATACTGTGAAGAAATATGTGGATTAGGCCTAGAGTAAGCGCTGCCCTGCTTGGCCCACCACAGCTGACATAGAGAGAGGATCAGCTGCCACCACCATCCCCTCCAATCTCTAGCCAGTTGTGGGTGGAGGCACAGGTGCCACCTTCCCCATTTGGTGCTCGGTGGCTGGGTTGTTCCTAACAGAGGGGCACTGGTTGCCCTTACAGTTACTTGGCTGCCTTCTATGTGTACACTCAGATCTTGTTAGTTAGTATGCTTTGTTCTACAAGAAAATTTAGTATATAATCAATGCAATACACGTTAATGACAATGAATCTGGATTAATATTTAATTTCATATTAACAACTACAATAACATGTACTCTAATAATATGGCTTTGCTGTATCTTGGTGGAGAGCATCTTCATCCTAATCATCATCACCACGATGATTATCATCATATGTTGATGTAATGTGTGGCAGCTGCACATGTGGTAGCCCAGTGACCTCCTGTTAGGTGGCCTGGCGCACACTGCTATGTAGGCTCAGCGTCAATCATTCCTACATTTGTAAATCTTTAAATAGGTTTCATTATGTACATTCAGCTATTAGATATTAGGGGAGGGAATTAGTGATTTGCAGAGTACTATTTGCAGAGTACTATTCGAGAATAGAATGTGAGCACTTAACTGCATTTCATAACATATCATGCTCTATTGAATTTATTTATTTTAATTGAAAAGGATTGTATTAAAAAATTCTTACAAATTCAGAAAAATCAAAATTAAACCAGAATAATCTCTGAAAAGAAAGCAACATGTTTAGTATGAAATAATGTTTAGTCATTACTTATAAGTTTTAGGCCTAAAAATGTAATTATTAGTTAGTCTTATCAAATCTAAAGCTCCAGTAAGCATGCTAGGTAAGCAATATGCAAAATACACTTGATATTTTACTTGTTGGTACATATTTTAAATTTCTTATAAGAAACAGTTGCGTTCCTAATATTCTTGCACTCGCCATCTCTGGATTTGTAAGAATTTATGGATTTATTTGATTATGTAAAAATGCATAGACAAATTTATTTATTTAATTATTGAAAAATAAGTTTTTATCACTTTGAGACTGCCAGGAAAGTAAATCATTTAGATTCTCATTAAGCCACAAACAGTACCACCATATCAAGTTAGTTTGCATGTTAAGATTATTTTTTTTTTTCTTTTTTTTAGTTTTTAGATATTTTTTATTACTAAAACTTTCCATAATAACTTGAGTGTTTGGCAATTAAGTATGAGTAGCACATACATATAATATATAAAAAGTTATATAACTTAGCTTTTGCATTATAGTAATATATACTGAGCCAATTTTAATATGAATGAAAGTTGGGGTTTAAAATAGTTAGGGAATTTTAAAATTTATCTTTACTCTTTACACAGTTGTAGATTACGCTCACCAGTTTTTACAGAGTTGCTCGACATGTGATACAGAAAAGTTGTTATTCTTGAAAGTTTGCTACATTTTTTATTGCTTTGTATGATCATTGCTGTCTAAATTTACAGAAAAAGATGATTAAGTGTACAGCCCAATATGATGACATTGTATGAGAGAGATGCCCTGTATAGTTGATAACAATGAACGATGTGAAATGTGTCATCCACTCTCCATTGATTCTCTCCCCTCTGGTTTGTTTATAGTGCCATAGAATATTGGGATAGTTAAAATAATTTTTATAGGGTTTATGAATTTCAAAAGATTTCAGATTTATGCAGAGTCCCTTTACCTAAACCCTCACCACTGCCGCCAAGCATACATGGTATGCAAGTGACGAGGAGAAAGTACTTGCTGGGAAGTGATCGATATTCAGGCAATAATGAAGAAAACATTCGTAATTGGACAGTACTGCACTGTATTTAAATGTATGTATTATACTGTTTTTTTAACTTTCATCCTGTTAAAAATAAAACCATCTTATATCTTCATTTGCATTAGTCATAATCAGCCAGCTTCCTCTAAGGCAGTATGATTCAGAGAACTAAAAGAAAAAACACTCGCCATCATTCACTCCCTAGCTGTCTTTCCAGGGGCACATGGACATTATGATTCAAATGTCTTGCTGAACCACAACATCCCATCCATATCGGAAGTGCAGGCATGGTACTTTCTCCCTCTAGAACTCCATTCTGGCTAACCAGTTTTCCTGAATCCCTTTATAGATATTACCATGCTCAATTGTTCATACTCCAGCAGCAGGCCAAGTCCCACTAACCACTTGCCAATCTAGCACACACACACATGCTTGCTGGTTGCTCAAGTCCCTACCTCTATAAACCTTCATGCCCTCCTTCCATGTCTTACTGAAACATTCCTTACACCACTTTCCATCCAACCCAGATCTTAAACCCATTTTAACTTATTGTGCTCTAAATAAGCAAACTGCTATATCTTAACTCCACTTCATTTCCCTGAGGTATACATTTTGTACCACTATATAATCTTTTAATTTCTTATTCTCCAAATAATGTTAAAACCTTACAATGATCTTAGTGCCAGTCTCTTCCTCACAACTTTTAAAAGCCATCCATACCTTACATCCCTAAAAAAGCAATGCCATCCATCATCTGACTGAGGAAGGTCTGTAGACTGAAAATATTTTCAGTCTACAGACCTTGTACTGCTAAATAAATAAATATATATACATACATATATATAATATATATATATATCATCAGCTGTCTCCCACCAAGGTAGAGTGACTCGAAAAAGAAGAAACACTATCTCCATCATTATATTGCCAGAGGCCCTTCGATACTACAAATCAGATTCCCCTCCAAACTGCAAATATCCCAACCCCTCCTTCTGGGGTAGAGGGGGAGATTAGAGTATTTATTTAATTTTATATTGCCCCATCATCTCTAAATGTCCAAACTACCTCAACAACTCTTCCTTAGTCACTTAAATAATATGCTTTTTATAACCGACACATACCCCAGACTATAAATTCTCTGCATAATATTCACACACAGATGTGTCTGAGGGCAATTTGTAGAGTGAATATTATGTGGAGAATTCGTAGAGGGCTGAGGATGGGTTGTTGAGGTGGTTCAGACATTTAGAAATGCTGGAGAAAAACAGGAGGCTTTGAAAATCCAGCATGTGTGAGCATGCTAGATAGTGAATAGACAACCAGTTGTTTTTAATGGAAGTGCTCTTGGAATGTGAATAATGTAACATGAAGGGATTCAGGGAAACCAGTTAGCCAGACTTGAGTCCTGGAGGTGGGAAGGGCATTACCTACATTCTGAAGGAGGGATGGGAATGTTGCAGTTAGAGGACAATCTGATTTATGATGTCAGCACACTTCTGGCAACACAGCAGTTGAGTGAATGATGATGAATGGGTTTCCTTCTTTGGGTCACCCAACCTTGTTGGTAGATGGCCAGTTATATTAAAAATGAAAGAGAGGTAGGTAGGTGTGTGTATTTATTTATGCACACTGTACAATATCAAAGTGCAGAGGATACATGTCAGCAGGTTGAGGAAAACTCTCATATAGATGGAAACAATATGAAGAGTATTTTAATCTAAATCTGAGATGTTCAGCAGAGGAAAGGAGAGAGTAGGTTTATATATGAATTTGATCACTAGACTACATTCCCTGTACTACTGAAGATCTCGGACAGATATCGAGTTTTTTTTTTTACACTAAATTTGTATACATGTGGATTTCTCCTCAATTCATAATGTACTGGTAAACCCCTGCCTGTTGTGCATCCACCTACTGCATTTTCATTTTGAGATTCACATTTTCTTCTTCCTTCAACTTTCAGTGTAAACCTACCCAGCTTCATGCCGACGTGATCATTTTATTAGTCCAGTTTTGAGCATTGAATTATTTAGCAAGTGCATTTATACTGTGTGTGTGTGCTTATTTTATGTATATATAAAGAGCTCACATTTGTTTGACAGAAATTGGTCAAGAACCATAGATTTTCATATTTACATTTTAATTGAGGTTGAAATATTAGTATTTTTTCCTTTGTTGGTTTTTAACTAAATCCATTCATACACTGTATGATCAGTTTATGTATGTATAAAGAGCTCTCATTTATTTGGTAGAGATTGGTCAATAACTACAGATTTAATACATAACTGGAAACCACGACTGACTAGAATACTAGATGTTGAGCACATAATGTCTGGAGACACATGGCAGTGACTCCAGCCTGCCAAACTCTTTCACCCCATACCCACCACCAACATGAAGTGTGTTTACTTGTCTTTTTATTATATCTCGTCTCTAAATATTAACCATGATCCAAGATATAATGCTGGAGGTGCTAAGAAGAGGAATTGTGTGTTGAAGATATAGTAGTCCCTCCCTGATGTTGTATTAGCTATTCCTATGTTCTCTGGAAGGAACACCCTTATCTGTGAAAGGTATACTTAACAGCCATCCACTGCCAAGGCAGGGTAACCTGTAGAAGCAAACACACTATCATTCGTTCCATTGCTGTTTTCCAGAAGTGTGCTGACACCACAATCAGATTACTCTCTGACTGTAATATCCCCATCCCTACTTCAGATTGCAGGTAATGTCCTTCCTACCTCCAGGACTTGTACACCTGTGTATGTTGTACTTGTGACAGTTAGGGAGTCCTTTGACCGTGTAGGTCACTCAGCACTTGCAGCCATAAAAAATGCATAATAAAAAACATGGATAAAAGCAACAAACACTCAACATAAATAAATTATATCAAGTTAAAATAGCCAACATCCATTCATCCCCCTCCCCAACATTATAGCTTAGCTATACATCTGGTGTCCTTCTTTTTTGCATAACATTTTTTTAAATTTTCAGTAGCTCTAATACTATATAATCCTGAGCTGTATGGCCCATATGGTTTAGCACTTTTCTTCAAATATATTAACCACATCTTGAAGCCCATTCTAGAAATCTAATACTTTTTGAAAATAAATATTTTCTAATATCTTTTCTTCATTTTTTGAAGAGGAGTTGTAAATTATCTTTGTGGCCTCTTATTCTCCCTATTGCTGGTTCCAATTTTGTTTTTCACATCCTCATATGTATAGATTTGCATGCTCGATTTCTAGCACACTTAGCTCACACACTGAGGATCGATCCCTGGTATGGCTGAAAAACATTAGGACGTGTTTCCATAAGACACCTGCTGTCCATGTCCACCTATCAGTAAAATGGGTACTTGGGTGTTAGTCGATTGGTGTGGGTCACATCCTCGGACAAAATTGACCTAATTTGCCCGAAATGTTATGCATAACAAGGGGCTTTCTATATAGTAGTATGTCACTGATGTCAGCTATGGTCTGTATTGTATACCTTGTACATGTACTTGCAGAAATAAAGATATTAATATTACAGTATGCCATTGCAATTCGGGCATTTCCAAAGTTTTCAGTTATTATTTATAAGTTATATTCTAGGATATTTTGTTGCACATCTTTGAACCTTTTCTCTTATTATAGTGCATAACATTTCATAAACAATTTATTTAGCATTCTCCCATATATCTACAAATAGCTAGTACAGCAGGGCTCCAACTTACGATGTTAATGTGTTCCAGAATATTCCTTGGTTTTTCAGCATATGGACTCTATTTTCCTTATCTGAATTTGGTTAATTTAATTTCCCAAAGAATTTCTATCCACTATTTTACATTCTGTGCTGTTTCTTTGCACTTACATGTGGGAGGTGAGAGGGTGGTGCAAACATGGTGTGGTTGGGTGGATGGTGTAAGCATGGGGGTGAGGGGTTGGAATGCGGGCAGGTGTTGTCATTGATCTCAGTACAAATGTTTACCGAACACGCCCACAGCACAACCAACATGCCAAACCAGGGTTTCACCTCCCTCCCTACTTCACCACCCACCCACTAACCAGTGATACAGTAACATGAATGTTACATCTTTAGCTCTTGACCAATGTTTACCAAATAGATATGAGTTCTCTATATATGCATAAAACAAGCACAAAGTTTAAATGAATATAGTAAAGAACTAATCAAGAAAAATATATTGAAAGAGTATGTCATTGCTCGTAAATAAATAATCAGTTCCAAAATGCCAGTGCCATAAGTGCAGAAACCTTAGAAGTCAGGTTCCTGCCGTATCTTAAAATTTGCTGTTTGGGCCTGCAACAAGTTAACTTATGTTCAGTGGATATATACCTTTTACCTTTGCTGAGTTTTTCTATTAGTCTCTTCAACTACGCTGTTGCTGCTGGCCCACATATCCAACACAGCCTGGTTGATATGGCGCTTGGTAGAAATATTTTTCCAGTAGTGTTTCTGATATCTTTTGGCAAGATCTTGAATAGTCTGGGTCCACGGATGTTGATACAATGTTATCTTCTTGTGCTCATCAGCGACTGGTGTTAAAACATTTTTGACATTGAATTCATGCCCTTTCTTGCCTTTGTATAGTTTTTCAATACTTTTTGTTTATTAACCTCATTTATTATTTCCCTGTTATAACATTCATAGGTAGTGCTAAGCCCGTAGAGGTCATACAGCACTTGGAAGAATGGGAGGCATTCAGATTCAATCCAAGGAAGGGAAGGGCAGGTACAATTCTTTGGATCATAAACCCCTCATCAACATCAAGTAACTTTTCTTGAGGGGTCAGTCTTCTGTAATACCTTGATCGATGCAATTTCTTCAAAGTACTGCTTTAGGTGTGTGTACAGGTATCCCTTGCTTTATGTGGGAAGTGTGTTCCATGCCTATAGCAGCTGACTAGCTTTCTTTTTATTTTCTGTTGACATCCAGAGGTTTTCTTTACAAATTTCTTGAGACTTTGTAGAAAAAAAAGTATCTATCACATTTCTTCATTCATTATCACTGTATGACCCCTTCAGGTTTAGCACCTAGCTTATTATTATTCATTCATATCTTTAGGTAATTAGATGTTTTCTCTGAGTCTATCTTCTTTAAACATTATAATTATTAAAGTATATTTGTCAAGTGCTAATCCCATGTGGGTCATGGCTCAGTCCTCCGTCAGGTAATTGCAAAACAGAGGATCTTTCAACAGAACTTTATTAATACACTTCATCCCTGCGGTTAACATTCAAAGATTACGTTCATGGAGAAGCACTAGACCTTTAAGGACATTCATAATATATGTGACCTTCAGAAGACATGTTCTTGCCCATTACTTACCTATTCTTCTATAGCTGCAATATGTTTAACTGGATTATTATAATTAATTCCTTCTGTAGTTTTTTGTTTCTCTTCTCTGTTTAACAATATTTTTCCGCTATTCCATTTTCTTAGAGTTATCTCTGCTTTTTTCAATAATTGTCTATTTTTTCTCTTAAACAGTTATTATGGCCACTTTTATAAATTATATCTGACTTCACTTGCATTCACCTCCAAACTATGATGTCAGCACACTTCTGGAAAGGCAGTGATTGAATGAATGTTTTTTATTCTTTGGGCCAACCTGCCTTGATGGGAGATGGCTGTTGCATTAAAAAAAAGTGTGTGTGTGTTTTATAACACATTCACTCAGTTGCCATCTTTCCAGAAGTGTACTGACATTACAGTCAGATTACCCTGACTGTAACATCCCTACACCTAATTCAGAGTGTAGGCACTGCCCTTTTCACCCCCAGGACTTAAATCCAGTTAACCGGTTTCCCTGAATCTCTTCATAAAAGTTACCCTGCTCACACTCCAACATGTCCATTAAAAATGGCCTGTCTTCATGCACTCCTATCTGACACAAGCCTCTAAAACTCAAAAGGATCTTTTAACCCCTCACATCAGCCATTTCTGAGATGACCCCTTACTCTCCTACCTTCCACCCCAGATTTTCACACCCTTTTTGTCAAACCACCACAGCTCTCTACATTATACCCTTGGTCACCTCATAACTCCTTTTAATTTCTATGCTCTGAATTCTCTGCATGATATTTACACCACACCTTGCTCTCAAATATTACATCTCTGCTGTCATTACAGAAGTGAAACTACAGCAATATCCTGATTTCTTTTCACTCTAAGCACAGGATTTTAAGCTTTGTAATACAGTTGGCCCCCCACCTTTTGGAAGGGTTAAGTTCTTGAAATCAGAGCTCTACATGACATTGCAGTAGGGGGGTGAAGAACTTGGGGAATGTAGTGAAATTTTTTCCCTAAGACCTTGAAAAAAGCCAAACTGTTTTTTAAATTCTTACTTTGTCAAAGTTAATAAAGTTTTTGTGCCTGACACTAAAAAGTTGTTCTGTGTTCATCTAGAGAGGGTTCAATGTTGCCCTACTAGGCCAAGTTGGATACTCATAAACAAGTGCACTAAGTCAGTGTTTGACTTGACTGGGTTATCTTAAGGTAAATCTACAAAATGTTATATGCCCGTAATGTGTGCACTGTCAAAACCATTGCACAAAAATTCGTATGTTACATATAAAAAATGCAGTAGTATTTATGACATTTACGGAGAACTTTTACTGCATGTGTCACCCAGTGTTCAGATCCATAAAATATATATATAAAACAAAGTCAAGGGACAAACATGTACTCAACACAAATACATTACATAAAATGTAAATAAAAATTTACTTGGTAAATAATTTTTTTTAAGGCCTAGGGTAAGGTGGTGGTTGATGTAATTTATCTCTTCCATAAGCAATGGGAGTTCCTTCTAGAGATGATGGGCAGGCTCAATATGCTCTAGTGAATATTATAACTTCATTCCAGTCATTCATAACTTTCATACACAATTTTCTCCTTTAGAATTAGACTGATACCTCCCCCCCCCCCCCCAAAAAAAAAAAAAAAAAAAAAAATATTTTTTTTTACTCTACCCTAAAGTCCTTGTTTTTCTTTGCTTATGGCTATAGAAGTGTGTAGGGAGATGGCTAATGTGGCCTTACTTCTCCACAAACATGCCAGGAAAATTTTTGGTGCTCCTATATCACATGATGAACTCCACCTTTCCCTACACAATTTATTCCTTAGAATATGCTGAAAAGCAACCCTTGTTGCTATAGAAGTGTCTGGAGATGGTTAATGTAGCTTTCTCCACAAAAGTGCAAGGAAATTACCTGGCACCACTGCATCAACCAATCACTGCCATTCTCTACTTTTTTTTTTGAACACCAAGACTTTCTTAGTACCTCCAGCATTCTAGTAAATATGTATTCCTTTTTGGTACCAAGGTTTATATCCAGAGACAAGACAAGGTGATAAAACATTGAAAATGGAGTGATAAACACAGGTATGGCAAGTGCTTATATTAGAGAATTAGTTAAGCTCTCACCTGCACAGGCATAACAGCTGGCCACTTTGGAGTGAAAGATGAAAATAGGTTTCAAAAGATGTATTGCAAACTGGTGGAAGTGCATTAGCAATAGGATGGAGGCCTACTGTACTATCAAACAATTCTCCTGGATCTCATAAGTTCACTAGTCAACTGATGTCTAAAGAAATAGCCTTCTTGCACTCTTAAATTGTTGTAACTTTAACCTACTGAGTTTATAACTAACAATTGTAGCTACCGGAGTACAGCTATGCTTGTGGTGCTGTATAGCCCTTGTGGCTTAGCGCTTCTTTTTGATTATAATAATATGCTTGTGGTGTCCAGTCTTCTTCATTTACAGTACTGTAATCAGAAATACATTTAACATTATTTTTGTTCACTGTAACTTATTTTTCAACATGTATAGCTATTAAAAATAATTACTATCATTTTAACCCATGCAGGTTTTTCAGCCTAAATTTATTAAAGGGTCATAAGGTATTTTGGGAAAAAAGGGAGGTGGCTGTATTGGGGTGAGGCATATGATAGTATGACTGTTTTTTGTTTCATTAAACATGTGATTCTATTTATGTGGGGACTTACAAGATAAGCCAGAAGGCAGTTGTATTGGTGGTGGTGGCGGCAGTGGGTGAGGTCCCTCTGTTATGGAGCACTGTCATCTCAGTGCCTGGATGTGGTTGGCAGAACAACTCATCTGAAGGTGTAGATGTCACTGCTTCCCATCCCAGGTGTTTGGTAGCAATGCAACCAACACCATGACATATAACACATGCAATGTTTAAGGGCATGGGTTATTGCAGAATTGTTACCCCTCCTTGCAGGGTATATAGCAGGTACTAACAGCTGGAACATGTGATGGGTTTCAGAACAATGCTTATCCAGTTATAATCTATTATAAATTAATATGTGCCTGGATGGTGTTGGTAGCTTTAAAAAAGTCATAAATGCTATACAGAACTTAGAAAAAGTGATAAATTATCCTTATCCAGACCTCTCTCTCTCTTTGCTTATGTACATACTTAAGTGAAAATAGTCTTTCAACTGTACGTGTAGTTGTGCACACAACACCCAAGTATAATTTATGTTTGAATGATCTGAAGTATTCCTGGGAACATGGGCAACTGCTATAATCACATTTGAATCCACACAAAAAAATATGCAGATATTGAAATTGATTATGCTTGTACGATGAGTAGTCATACTTTATGTATTGTAATGTGATGACAATTAGGAAATTATAATAAAAAGGTTATACTGTATGTAGTGGAATCATTGAGGTAATACACATTTGTGAGAAGATCCACAACTTCCTGCAAGTGTAATATTGTAACACCTGTAACTAATGTGAAAAATATACACTGCCCAGGTAAAATTGTGATATTGTGCCTCATTGTGCTGGTAATGCTGTAAATTTGTAATAATTCTGCCATCTCTATCCAGGCACTGCTGGGGCAAGGTTTGGCAGATGTGAGCACTACAACCCATGCTCTGTTTGTTATAAAGCCTGTTACTGGGTGTGGGTTGTATTGCACCAAGTGCCTGGCAGTAGGTGACTGTATGAACCAATATGTGATGTGGATGACTTTGGTGTGGGTTTGTTCTGCCAATGCCTTACACCCAGAAGAATGTAGTAATCTTGCCAAGACTAATGCTCCATGGAACACCTATGATCCAAAGTATTATTAATGTTTCTTATAAGTGGTTATATTGTCTTTCTATAAGACATTCGAATGTTGACAGTGTGAATGAAACTGTTTGGTTCCCTGCGCTCGCCCCCGCCAGGGATGATCTGCCCACCGGCATTGGTACATCACTTGAAGCCATCTCATGTGGTCAATGGTGATTTATAAAGGTCCACAGGCCCATAACAATGCTGGTGCATACCAGCAAAGTAAAGGGGTGTGTGGTGGGCAGGTGGTGGTGGTTGTGTCAGGGCACCAGTCAGACTGGAGAGTAAAATGCTCGATTGCTGGTACAGCTTCTATGCTGTTACATTTTGTCACTAGTGGCAGGTGAGCCAGCTTCACTGATTCCATCTCACAGCCACCATCACCTTTCATGATCATCATCACTGGAGTGCCACAAGCAGCAGGGCAGCGTGGCGGCGGGGGCGGCGCGGCCCTGCCCTTGCTCACTAGCGCAGTGGAGGCATGCTAGGCTACTCACTGCCAGAATGGTGGTAGTATGTAACTTGGCATGCTTACCAAACCTCATAGTACTGATACTGCGCCCTGTTTAAAGGCTACACTACCCACAGTTTGTAACCTGTTACTGAATAAACATTGTATGTTCTTCTTTCATAAAATGTTTGTTTTTATTAATTTCCTTGCTGAAAGTGTCAAAAACATGTAAAATGCTTTAAAAATTATAACTTGATAGATATCTGTAATAGAAAAATAGCTTAATTTTTCAATTTTTTTTTTTTTTTTTTTAACACACTGGCCGATTCTCACCAAGGCAGGGTGGCCCAAAAAAGAAAAACTTTTACCATCATTCACTCCATCATTGTCTTGCCAGAAGGGTGCTTTACACTACAACATTAACACCCCTCCTTCAGAGTGCAGGCACTGTACTTCCCATCTCCAGGACTCGAGTCGGCCTGCCGGTTTCCCTTCATAAATGTTACTTTGCTCACACTCCAACAGCACGTCAAGTATTAAAAACAATTTGTCTCCATTCACTATCAAAGACGCTCACGCATGCCCGCTGGAAGTCCAAGCCCCTCGCACACAAAACCTCCTTTACCCCCTCCCTCCAACCTTTCCTAGGCCGACCCCTACCCCGCCTTCCTTCCACTACAGACTGATACACTCTTGAAGTCATTCTGTTTCGCTCCATTCTCTCTACATGTCCGAACCACCTCAACAACCCTTCCTCAGCCCTCTGGACAACAGTTTTGGCAATCCCGCACCTCCTCCTAACTTCTAAACTACGAATTCTCTGCATTATATTCACACCACACATTGCCCTCAGACATGACATCTCCACTGCCTCCAGCCTTCTCCTCACTGCAACATTCATCACCCATACAGGAGCGTTGGTAAAACTATACTCTCATACATTCCCCTCTTTGCTTCCAAGGACAAAGTTCTTTGTCTCCACAGACTCCTGCTGTATAGTCCTGTGCTAGCTTCTTTTGTTATAATATAATCCAGACTCTAAGTGCATGTCACCCTTTTCCCCTCATCAATTCTATGATTCACCTCATCTTTCATAGACCCATCCGCTGACACGTCCACTCCCAAATATCTGAATACATTCACCTCCTCCATACTCTCTCCCATCTTTCATCACCTAATCTTTTTGTTATCCTCATAACCTTACTCTTTCCTGTATTCACTTTCAATTTTCTTCTTTTACATACCCTACCAAATTCATCCACCAACCTCTACAGCTTCTCTTCAGAATCACCCAAGAGCACAATGTCATCAGCAAAGAGCAACTGTGACAACTCACACTTTATGTGATTCTTTATCTTTTAACTCCACACCTCTTGCCAAGACCCTCGCATTTACTTCTCTTAAAACCCCATCTATAAATATATTGAACAACCATGGTGACATCACACATCCTTGTCTAAGGCCTACTTTTACTGGGAAATAATCTCCCTCTTTCCTACATAATCTAACTTGAGCCTCACTATCCTCATAAAAACTCTTCACTGCTTTCAGTAACCTACCTCCTATACCAAACATCTGCCACCCTGTCATATGCCTTTTCCAAATCCATAAATGCCACAAAAACCTCTTTAGCCTTATCTAAATACTGTTCACTTATATGTTTCATTGTAAACACCTGGTCCACACACCCCCTACCTTTCCTAAAGCCTCCTTGTTCATCTGCTATCCTATTCTCCCCCCTCAAGGAAGGTTCCTTGATGTTGGTGAGGGGCTCTTGATTTAGGGAATTGGATCTGTGCTCCAGTTCCCCGAATTAAGCCTGAATGCCTTCCACATCCCCCCCCCAGGCGCTGTATAATCCTCTGGGTTTAGCGCTTCCCCCTTGATTATAATAATAATAATAATATCCTATTCTCTGTCTTACTCTTAATTCTTTCAATAATAACTCTACCATACACTTTACCAGGTATACTCAACAGACTCATCCCCCTATAATTTTTGCACTCCCCTTTGCCTTTATACAAAGGAGCTATGCATGCTCTCTGCCAATCCCTAGGTACCTTATCCTCTTCCATACATTTATTAAATACAGTGGACCCCTGGTTAACGATATTTTTTCACTCCATAAGTATGTTCAGGTGCCAGTACTGACCGAATTTATTCCCATAAGGAATATTGTGAAGTAGATTAGTCCATTTCAGACCCCCAAACATACACGTACAAACGCACTTACATAATTGGTCGCATTCGGAGGTAATCGTTATGCAGGGGTCCACTGTAATTGCACCAACCACTCCAAAACTATATCCCCACCTGCTTTTAACATTTCTATCTTTATCCCATCAATCCCGGCTGCCTTACCCCCTTTCATTTTACCTACTGCCTCACGAACTTCCCCCACACTCACAACTGGCTCTTCCTCACTCCTACAAGATGTTATTCTTCCTTGCCCTATACATGAAATTACAGCTTCCCTATCTTCATCAACATTCAACAATTCCTCAAAATATTCCCTCCATCTCTAACTCTCCTCTCCTATTTTTAACTGACAAATCCATTTGTTCTCTAGGCTTCCTTAACTTGTTAATCTCACTCCAAAACTTTTTCTTATTTTCAACAAAATTTGTTGATAACATCTCACCCACTCTCTCATTTGCTCTCTTTTTACATTGCTTCACCACTCTCTTTTTCTCCATATACTCTTCCCTCCTTGCATCACTTCTACTTTGTAAAAACTTCTCATATGCTAACTTTTTCTCCCTTACTACTCTCTTTACATCATCATTCCACCAATCTTCCCTCCTGCACCCACAAACTTCTACTGAACACTCTTGTGACTCCAAAATTAAATACTGACAGTGTTGCAATTAAAAAATTTCAATGATAGAGAACCTTTTTCTGAATCTAATGATACCAAAAATGCAAAACTGAATTACCCTCTACAGTGTACAGAGGTTAGTAATTTGGCCAGTTTTATACAAAAAAGTTCAAAATAAACACACAAGGCACTAAAGCAACCTTTCTTCTGTTCATTAATCACATTCCCAGATGTCTTCTATGTAATACTTTCCCTTCCATTATCACAAAAAATTTACATTTTATCCAATTTCTCAGATAAAAAAAAAAAAAACAAGAATAATTGATCATGGTTTAAGCCATCTCATAATTGATGCAGACCTAGTGAAAACCTTTAAAATAGATTAGGGGCCCCTACCCTTCCTCAGGATAACTGCCAAAAATCAAATATTTCTGCCACTTTGAGGCTTATTTCAAGCAACTTCCATATGAAGAAATAGCAAAAACCAAAAAATTATCTACCCTAGAAAATACCTCAAAATCACTATTTTACACCAAACACTAGATCAGAGTTTTTTTTTTTTTTAATGTAGTGTAGGGCATGATTTTTTTTTTTATACTGTGCACATTCATCACAGACTAATTCTTTCACGTCTAGGCCAAAATTTACCACTCACAGCATATTTGAAAGCACTGTGCATAGATCCATGAGAATAACTCTGCCATCAATACTATAGATTGACATAGGGGACAGTGAAAGGGTTAATAAAATGCTAATTTCAATGTTTGTGTTATTATATAAGGAATTAAATAATTGAGAATTACAGTATGCTATTGAAATATAATACTATTTACTTTCACTTATCTTGTTATAGAATTAATTTTGTATGTACTGACACTTTAGACACTTGCAAGGTGCAAATTGCCACACCACAGCCTCTTCATCTGGAATAAATAAGGCTGTAAGTTAACAGTCCCTACAATGTATGACCTAACCATTAATCTGACGGAGTTGTAGATCCAGAAATTGAATTTTTCTTCAGATGTATTGAAGTTTACAACAAGATTTGATTATTTAATACACTTCATTACATAAATACCAGTATTAATTACATTAATAATAAACATTACTGATAAGTTGATAAATAAGACATTCATAGTCACCTGGGTATCTTTAGTGACAAGGCATTTTGCCTGTGCAGCAGGGACTTTTTCCAATTTCATACCAAGGGGACTATTATATTGGAGACAATGGAAGAAGTGGAGGGGCAGTTTTAACCCTTAAATTTTGTGACTCGCAAAATCGTAATGACACAATTGCAAACAAACCATGGTATGGGTGAGGATAGACCTTGCAGCTAGAATTACACACTAGCCTGGAGTTTTACGATTTACTTGTCACAAGTTCAACCCCCACCCGTAATATGGTTTCTTAAACTTCGTCTCCGTCAAATTTCCGTGGGCTCAACTTTAATACCAGTCAACATTTTATATCTCAGCTCAATTGCTTAATTGTCCTACCACCTTCTTATGCCTAGTTAAAAATTGTAAGGCAAGGTGGGTTCCCACAAAGCACAATACATGTAAGTAACAATCACTCGGCATTATATATCAATGACCTGTGTGATGTGCATCTATGCAAATTGTTTTTATTTAGACATATGTAAATAGCATTTTTTTTTTTTTAGAATGGTCTTGAGGGCACACACAAAGTACATTACAACCTATGTTTTTTTTTTTTTTACTAAGAATAATCCAAGAAAATCAAATACAGTGGACCCCCGGTTAACGATATTTTTTCATTCCAGAAGTATGTTCAGGTGCCAGTACTGACCGAATTTGTTCCCATAAGGAATATTGTGAAGTAGATTAGTCCATTTCAGACCCCCAAACATACACGTACAAACGCACTTACGTAATTGGTAGCATTGGGAGGTGATCGTTAAGCAGGGGTCCACTGTACTGTGACTTATTCCCATGTTTCCAGGGGTAATATCATAAGACTTCCTAGTATATAGTGTAAGAAGAAAAAGGTACTCTAAAGAAACAAGAAACAATTATTTGTACCAATTTTCTTTTTTTTCAACAAGTCAGCCATCTCCCACTGAGGCAGGGTGACCCAAAAAAGAAAAAATCCCCAAAAAGAAAATGCTTTCATCATCATTCAACACTTGCACCACACTCACACATAATCACTGTTTTTGCAGAGGTGCTCAGAATACAACAGTTTAGAAGCATATACGTATAAAGATACACAACATATCCCTCCAAACTGCCAATATCCCAAACCCCTCCTTTAAAGTGCAGGCACTGTACTTCCCATTTCCAGGACTCAAGTCCGACTATATGAAAATAACCGGTTTCCCTGAATCCCTTCACTAAATATTAC